CTGTCCATGTTGCCAACAATGATGTTGAACATTGAAGACAGGTCTCAACATCGATCCCTGAGGGATACCACTCGTTACTGGTCTCCATGTGGACATCGAACCGTTGACCACAACTCTTTGTCTGCGGCCATCCAGCCAGTTCGTTATCCACTGAGTGGTCCATCCATCAAATTGGTGTCTCTCCAATTTAGAGACAAGGAGGTCGTGTGGGACATTGTCGAATGCTTTTCACAAATCCAGGTAGATGACATCAACTGCTCTGCTGCTGCCCATCAGTTCCGTAGCCCCATCATAGAAGGCCACCAAATTGGTCAGGCAGGATTTCCCCTTAGTGAAACCATGCTGGCTGTCACCAACCACCTCGCTGTTTTTCATGTGCCTCAGCATTCTTTCCAGGAGAATCTGCTCCAAGATTTTGATGGGCACAGAGGTGAGACTGACTGGTCTGTAGTTCCCGAGGTCTTCCACTTTCCCCTTCTTGAAAATGGGGGTTATATTTCCCTTCTTCCAATCATCAGGAACTTCACCTGACTGCCATGACCTCTCAAATATGATGGACAGTGGCCGAGCAACTTCATTTGCCAGCTAAATAGGTTCAAATAAATATTAGATAAATTCCCATGAGATAAGATCAGCAGAAGTTTTTAAACAAAAGTATGGAACCTTGGCCTAACGAATACCCTTAAAGGCTGATTTCCAGAATGGGGGAAGATATTTAGGAAAAGGATTTTTACCATCATCCTTTTCGTGAAAGAAGATTTGAAGCCACATGGCTGTTTTATGACAGTGCTTATGTTCTTTCAAGAGCTGAAGATCACTGTCAACATTTAAGAAGGCAAATTTTAGTCTTTGTTTTCAAGTTCTGATGCTCTGCTTCAAAAAGTGTGTTTCAGTCTTAAAAAAGAATACCTGTTAAATGAGTAGAGGTCAACAGATGAGCTACCCTAAAATAAAAGGTTGGGGGGGAGGGGGTTTAGTGAGATAGGTTTAATATGCTTAAACATTTTGAATGAGGAAATAATCTGGAAGTCCAAATTTTCGAAGTTCCAGTTCTAAAATCAGTTCAATATATGAGCACAGAAACAAGCTATCAGCAAGTTAGGTAGGATTTGGATTCAGAAAGTCTTGGAGAAAACTGCATAGTCATCTGTTATAGCTCTGGCAGATATCAGAGAAGTAAACTACCCCAGTGGAAAAGCAAGGACATCACCTCATTTCCATGGAACAGCTAACGAATTATGGTTTATATTCCTCATTGTAACCTACCCATTTCCTAACAACACATTTAAGAGTCTTTCAGTGAATGTTTCAGAGCTCTGTTGAAGAAGAAGGGAATTTTGCATTTACCAAAGTGCATGCCTGAATATTTTTCTGATCTGAGTCTTTTGGGGATTTCTGGAAATTTGGTGAAAGAAAACATTATTTAAATCATCATAAAACATATATTATTAAGGATCTTCAAGGTCTTTCCTAGATAGGTTGCCATAGTCTGTGTGTTAAAAAAGGGAATCATCTTCTTCCTATAAGCTTATTTAGAATCTTATATTTTAGATTATTATTAGGATCATCTACTGTGTATGGGTGTTTCAGAATTTTATCTCAGTTTATCTCTGTCTCCTGTAGGATAAATATTTGATCCATTCACACCTTTCCCTGACAGGGCAGACACATCACTGAATTTAAAAATCTTTGTAATAGTTTTCATTCTTTGAAATATTGAGTTGGGGAAATTACTCTAAGTGACATAAATTAATGCCATATTTCTGCTGTAATTACCCTCTATGAAGCCATTACATTACATTGCCAACCTTGCAATGATTCATCTTCTCCATCTGAGAGGCCTGGGAGTTTGATTCATTTCCTGCAATATACTTTATATATGCTCAAATGGGCAATCAATCATATTGGAGCAGACTGTGGAACTACTTTTACTTCTATCTGTTTTTCACTGAGTTATTCTTGTGAGGGGATAAACTGTTGTTCATTTAAACATCTGCATCTTCTGTTTTGTGTATACTTCCTTCTGGCTCAGGTCTTGATTTGTGACTGTACATGTGGAAGAGGGAAAGCAAAAGCTCCATTTCAAGTTTCACTTGATCTTGACAATAAGAGAACACCTAGAAAGAAAAGCATATGGTCTTGAATCTCTACTTGAATGATGAGGTGATCCAACCCAGCTGTTGTAGCTCATAGACAGAAGAGTATTATGGCTGTTTGTTCCTATTCCTCTAACCTCAGCTATGTCTTCTGCTGTACTTGGTCTTATCTGCATGCTGCCAATAAAATCTTAACATGGATACTGGATTGATCCTCTAGGAGGTCATAGGTGTGCAGATTTCAGTTTTGATTTTGTCTCAAGGAGGCTTAGACAGGGGACAAACACATCGATGTTCAACTGAACAGCTACAGTGGAAGAATTTTTATTGTCTATGTATTTATTATGAACAAATACAAGACCACGGTTTCTCAGGCAACCTAAGCAGGTCATTCTGCATTTTGGATTGCTATGTGAGACTTAAGTCACTAGATGCTCCCTTTATAGTACTTCAATTCAATAGCACTGGGTCTTACATGTAAAATTTGGCAGTCCAAAATAAGAAATGTTTTGTGTCCTTGGTTCTGACCTCCTGAGGCTTGACACTAATCTTTTTGAAAGCCTTAATTTGGTTTCATTTAGAGCTGTGTCAGGCTAGATCTGCAGAATTGGTAGGTTACATCTGCATATAAAGACTGTCTGTATATATCTGAGATACAACTAGAAACCATGAGTTCCAAAGAGGTTCTCAGTCATTTGGTTTTGGAAAGCAAAAAAGCTACTGCAGAATACTGCTGTAGTGTGGGGAAACTGAAGGAAATTATTTCATATAACTATCTGTTATTGTCTACAACCCCTATTCAAAGTACAGCCACTGAAGAACAGGTCAGTCGGTGGATCTGAAGGTGCTTTCTATCTGAATAAATCTAAGAGGCTGCTGTGCAGTAAGATGAATTGTATCCTAACTTATGCAGCTGTCTTAATGAGCTCTCTTGACTCCCTTGACTAGTTCTCCATGAACATATTGTCCAGCTTTTCCTTGGCCTTATTGTCTGTCTCTCTCTTAGTTTTCTGTATATTTTCACAGAGAGAAGCTGCTCTGAATACATGATTGAATTTTGTCTCTACTTGGTAGCTTAGGGACTTTCAGCAAGTCCTGAGACTCTTCCCACAAAACATAGCCAGACAGGATGAATTCTGTGGATCCTGCTCCAATCTTGATTCTTCATTATTCACTCTTCCCTTCACAATACAGTTTGCTTTTATAACATTTCAGAACTAGGGACAAAGAAACTTGACTTTCAAAATTCTGAGTGCTTTCTTCTCAGCAAAATAGAAAGATATACCACATTTCCCAACCACACATAGCTTACTTGGTTGACTTTAGGTCCCATATTTAACAAAAAATATGAATAGATTTAGAAAACTATAATGAAATTTGGAGTAGAAGAAATTATGGGCTGTAATGGTCTACTCAAAAGAATTGGCCTGTATTCTGTATTCACACTTAAAATAGTTAAGGATTACATTTGCAAGAACAAAGTTTATAGGGTATGCCAAATGACATGTTTTATTTAAACTTGTTTGGATCATACAATACCTTTTTCTATGCTTTATAATTTAAAGGACTTCAATGAAAACAGTACATCAGTTGCTTTTTTAAAGCCAGTAAGATTCTTAGTTGCAGTTCAAAATGAGAGTAATCTTGCATTTCTGTAATTATTATATCCTGACTTACTCCAGAAAACAGGCTGCTTTACTGTATTCACTTCAGATCTATGACCCTCGGTATACTATGAGTTTAAGACCTGTGTTGTGTTATATTCAAAATAACACCCTACCAATCTAATATACTAGACTGGGAATGAGCTCAGACGTAAGTGTCATCAATATCCTACAAGCTAAACAGATTTGCTCTGAAAAAAACTTAAGGGACAACTGAGTACTAAACTAAAGAACATTCTTGCCACTAACACTCTACGTAAACCGATAGAAGCACTAGCAATGATATCCCTGGCTTATTTCTTCAACAGCAGTTTCTCAGCAAGAAGCCATGTGAAGCACTGACAGACCTGTGGAACATGAGCAAACCTTTGCTTCTGTGGGGTTTTTTTTGTCTCAGATTTATAGCAAATGATTTTTCCTGGTCTGAACTGTACAAGGATTTGTTTTCATCAGCACTGGGATTGTTCTGTGGTTTAATTCTGAGATCTCTTTTTTTTCTTTCCCAGGGTGATACCAATGGTCATTCAGTTTTCTATTCTGATTATGCTGCACTCCGCTCTTGTGCTAATCACTACAGCAGAGGATTACAAATGTTTACCTTTAATGCTCCGGAAAACTTGCTGCTGGATTAATGAGACGTATCTGGCCAGGAATGTCATTATATTTGCATCCATTCTGATTAATTTTCTTGGAGCCATCATCAATATTGTAAGCTTATAGGGAACCAGGCAATATTATACAGGAAAAGATGATTTATGAATTATTAAGCTTGCTACAGGACTTGTTAACTTATGTGTTTATAAGCCAGCCATAATTTAAATACATGAAAAAGAAAAGGTGATGTACGGCAGCTTCAGGAAATTAAATCTGTTGCTTAAACTATGGATTTCTGAAATATGTAATTATTTGTCCCTCATGAATATCATCTATTTTCAAAACCCTTTTTCTACTTTCTATTTAATGCATTTGTCCATTGAGGACCATTTGTAATTTTCAGACATGTTGATACACTTCCTTAAAGAATGTCAATCCAAAAAATGCTTATAGATATTAAGTTCTTCATTTCACAGTTATCCCATTAATAAGATTACTAAAATAATGAGTGTCAATGAACCTAGAAAATACCTTCAAAAAAAGGATGGAGTTGGTCAAGCTTGCTGGTAACCACAGCATGTAAAAAGAAGTTAAGGGGCGTAAATTCTACACGTCTTGTCTTGCTCATTTAGTGGTTTGAAAAAAACCCATCAGCCTGAATTCACCTTAGCTGAAGTAGCAAACCATGGGCATAGTCACTCTCAGCTTTCTTTACAGTCAGTGCAGAAAAACAGGAATCCCCAAAGATTTCTTTTGATTATACTGGTTCTAATAAAGAGATTTTTCTCTCTCCAGTGCCCACAGAGGTCTCCTAATTTCCACATCTCCACTAAGACAAGTGACAAAGCTAGAGCAAAGTTTGTCAGTGTATCTGTGAGGAAAGGCTTTGCTTAGCAGCTGTGGTAATGGAACACTGTGGGCCTGCATACACAGGGTAAAAGGATATGGTCTTGTATGCAAATGTAATAGATCCCTGATTATCCTGATGTCGTCAGAAATATGAGATGGTTTTCCATGAATTAGGCAGATTATCATGTCAGACAGCCTGGCAGGTGTTGAAACCTGAGACGAAGGTAAATATCTCATTGATTGATTAAAAATAACAATTTCATCACTCTTTGCTCTTATAGGGCACCTTTTGGCTACAGATGTAGCAGTGCTTTTTCATCTGAATTTATAGTTTATTTTCTTCTAGATGAGACCAGGAAAGAATTTATTGGCCATAATAACAATAACTATATGACACAGCAACTATAACGACACAGCAGCACCAACAATTATCCTGTAATAATCAATAATATTTATGATTATATTGTTGGAGTAACTATGCTGAAGTCTGATACTTCAAGACTTTGCCTTGTCTTCTATTAACAGCTACAAGATTTTATTGCATTCTATTGCTGTTGTTCTTCCATGACTGAATTCAAGTTGCCAGTATGTGAAAACTCAGCTTCTGTCTGGGTTTTTTAGTGATACCACATAATCACTGCTAGGAGAGTTAGTGGGAGAAAGAAGAGTGTAGCCACTGATCACTATCCTTACAGAGAACATATAAATATGGTAAATGACAGGAAGTTCAGTAGGGCTGAAAACTTCCTGAAGATAAGGGCAGTGGTTCATTATAGTATAGATCACTAAGATGCGTCGTAGAATGTACAGGTCTTTAAATCATGTTTGACAAACATCTGTCAGGAAAGATTTTGGTAGAATTAAGCACACCCTTGAAACAAGATGATCTCTAATGGGCTATCCATACCAAATTTGCTATAGGTATGATGACAGTAAGATTTTTCTTTGACTTGTAGTGGATTATTTCTTAAGACTGTGTCTATTTCATTGTGGTAGGATGGCTAATTCTGAAACAGTCTAAAGAAACAGAATTCCTTTTACTGTCATGCCACTGGGTTTCTATAAAGCAGTAAACAATTATATTTATTGTCATAAATTCAGAATGGCAATGACTTGAGGCCTGACCTCTACAGGAAACAGCAACATTCATAAAACCTCATTATTCCATATGTTAAAATTCTGCCATAATAGTATTTTGCTCAGGAGGGACCTGCACACATTTAAGAACAGGTAACGTAGCTCAGTTTTGCAGCTATATGTGTCCACTGAGTTTAAATACACCCAGATGGAGGGGACAAAGATGTTTTCTAGGAAGAGTTATTAGGCTTCAGTTTCACCTTCACCAGGGGGGCAAATGAGTCTGCTGGTTCTTTATATCAAGTGCATTCTCATTGTTATAAAATCAGAAAAGAAGTTTCTGATCATGAAGGTCTTTTTGAAAGACATGCAGAGTGGGTTTCATGGCACTCTGCTCTGCAGAGAGGTGCTCTACAGCTCATAAACTTTCAGAAGGTACTAATAACTATCTATTCTCACAAAGGACTGCACAGACAACCTAGCTAATGTTGCTGCATTGCAGAGATGACTGAATTGCTGAAAGAACAAACAAGAGAGTTCCAAGTTCAAAATTCATTAGAATTTAATTATAAGAAATTGGGCCTAATTAAACAAACTCTAAATCTGTTACAAAAAAAAAGATAGAGGAGCTAGCTTGTACATACCAGGCTGGTGAAATAACCAGATTGGATTAATATATCAGGAGACAGGATGCTCCTATATCAGTCTAACAGGAGACTCCATCTGCTTTAACTGCTAAAATAAGAAACTATTAATGATTTTTTTCCCATGTTCTAATACCATGATGTATTGCAACTCAACATTGCTGTTTTATTTATGTTTAATACACTTGATTTTAAATACCATTAAAATGAATGCAGGTCATAACAGCAAAAGGCAGCAGTATTATATTCTCAAAACCATTGTTTCATGAATGAATTTTCATTCCCTTCCATTCTAGGCATCACAGCTGCAGTTCTGGGATGACATTATGTTTTGGCACAAGCCATAACGCATGATACAATGGTATTTTGTCCCACATCTAGAAGGATAACTTTGTCCCTTGCAATGGAGCATAAAAAAAGCTCACAAACAAGTGCACGCATGTAATCTGATTTTATCCTCCCAATTTCAGAATTTTCTCAATAGTTTATAACAAAGTATAAACATTTTGAGAGGGTAATCCTTAAAAGTCCAGCATTACTCCTCTGAAACTCCCAGAGGAGCTCATCTTTCCGCTTTAACAACAAGAGAACATATGAAAGCTACTCAGATGTCGAATGTTTGTAGCATGTATAGCTCTCCCCTTTCCATTTCACCTCCACAGTACGTCTTCTTACTGTCAACTTAACCCTTGGTGAAAGCTAGGGAGCTGTCATGAAAAGCAGGTCAGCCAGTTCTATCCCTGAACCCAGCCAGTAGCCACAAAAGATCTTTGTCACCAGTGCATAATGTAGCCCTGATATATTTTATTTTCCTCTCTTCACAGCTATGGTGTGATTTTGACAAACCAGTAGCCCTGAAGAACCAGACATTCAATTCATCTGCATCTTTCACAGACATCTGTTCCTATCCTGAGGTATTTCTGAGGGTACTTTTGAATCTGAGGCACAGACCCACAAAGGTTACAAGACAACCACTATAAGGAATCAATGATCTGTGTACTGGTGGTGGAGCCAGGTGTCTCAACAGCACTGTGAAGCTGAATCTTTGTATTTATCCATATACTGATCAAGAAAGCAGAGGCTGGTTGCAGAAGGAATTAATCTTATGGTCTAATGAGGCATTCCAATCAAGTTTCAACCTTCAAACTTCATACAGAACCTTTAGGCTAGAAACACATTCAGCAATGATTCAATGAGCTTAGTGCATTTAATTCATATGAAGCTATTGGAGACTAATACTTACATAGCAAAACCACCAGTCATTCTGCTTTAGTTATTTTAAATTTGCATTTGGAGCAAAGAAAATCCTCTCTATGATGAGTAAGCAGGCAATAAAATCAATGGGTTGCTCATGTGTAGATAAAGCAGAGAATCATAGAATGGTTTGGGTTGGAAGGGACCTTTAGATCATCTAGTTCCAACCCCCTCTGCGATGGGCAGGGAAATAAATGCAATATGTTGCTTAGAAAGTCATATGGCGGTGTCATAATAATGCCAGCAGTATGCTGCAAATTGCATGGATGCAGACTTTCCTCCAGAGGAGCTGTACTAAAGTAAAACTGTACTCAGAAAAATGAATGCAATCTCTCCTAAAGCTGTGTGATAGGAGTTAATTTAAACTACATTTGGACTGTGGGTGTTGATGCTGCTATTTTAAATCTGAACAGCTCATGGCCATGATTGTCTCTCTATATCCAGTATCAGCTGCATGGATTGCATTTGACAGATGACTAATCATTGAGAAAAAAAAGACAATAAAGAGATTAGAAAATGAGATATGAATAAAACTTCCAGGCATCAAATTTTAAGAGAGTAATTTAACTAAGTAGACATGCAATATTGAAAATAATTTTAAAAAGTCACAATAAACCCCCACCCAAACCTGTGGCTTTATCCTCTCTTCAAGTAACGTGGGGAAAGGATTAAAGCTGGATTATGATTCTCCCATCCTGATTAATGTGGATCTTGTGGAAGTTTAGAATTCAAAGGAATATAAATTATTTTCTCTCAGTTGGCTTTTCATTAACTATGTGCAACATCTCTCCCTTTCTCTTTTAACAACACAGGACTTCCTTTCCCTTCTATTACAATGACTATGCCACAAAAGCATAGTGTAACTAGCATAGCACTAACATGGAGGTGCCCTGTAAAATAAAGAATTTGTAATTTCACATTCTACTTTGACAAAACACTTACTTTCAAAGTGCCCTGTAACCTGACAAGGCTTAGCTGAGCACTGAAATTCAGAGCAGTTCTTTTCATACTTCTGATTTTTTTTATCATTTCTGTAGACATTTGTGGAGTTAATATGTAGTCACTGATCACCAAAAGTAACCAGTGCTGTTTTCTATTCAGTATTTTGTCTTCACTGGTGTGCTGGCAATGGTGACTTGTGCAGTCTTTCTTCGTCTCAACTCTGTCCTGAAGCTGGCAGTACTTCTCATCATGATTGCAATCTATTCTCTGCTGACTGAGACAATTTATGCTTCCCTATTTCTGCAATATGACAACTTTAACCACAATGGAGAGTAAGTGTTCACAGCCCCCTTTAGGAGCTGCTTTTTAATAAGGTAATGGGTCGAGTCTTGCCAGAGTATACGTTTATTGGATAGCACCATAGTTAAGTATGGGGTGATGGTTGCAAGAGGCAATGACTGATGACAGAAAGATTTACAATGTGATTCTTTCTCAGGCTTTTTAATTAAAGCTTTTGTTTCATGAGGATGTTTAAACACCGAGCAGAGTTTGTCTTTTATGTCTCCCACGGTTTATCTATGTTGCTAAAAATAAGCATTACAGTGCATATACATTGGTTGCTTCTGTTCTTGAAAATTTCAGAGATACTGACTGTAATTCTCACCTCAATTTAAGAAAATAGGAATGAATGACTGATTTTTTTAGGGTCAGGGTTTTAACTGAATAAAATCCAAACTATAACATGTAGTTGTAAAAGACATAAGGGATACAGGGATAATCCCATTGTAGGAATGCACTTGAAGGACAGACTCCACCTCCCAGGCTTCCTTCCCAGCAAGAGAAGTTGAAGAGGAAGACAGAAGAACCACAGTAATTTGCAGAGTCAGATATTCACTAAGTGTTGCAATAACTGAATCTAGAGCAGCAGCGATTTAGGTCATTCAGAAAAATCTTCAGTCCTTGTTACTTGACCAATTTAGTATGGCAGTTGCTTGTGCTTGTCAGCACATGCCAGATGAAGATCCTCAGAATAACAGGAAAGCATGGATTTACAATAGAATTAGTTCTCACAACAGCCACATCTTTATACACAGCATATCTTTCTGCAAGCATATCTTTCTTTGCTAGCTTCCTACAGTAGCAAGGTACTAAGAATTTGGGGTGCAATTTTTTTTCTAATGCTAGTTGTTCTCCTACAGACTAATGATATGACATACAGCATATTCACAGCAGACCCCAGCAAACACAACAAATGGCAGCTAGCAATACATTGGCTAAGTAACTAGAAGTAGAAATAATGTTCATTGTCTTTAATTTTTGTCACTAATCAAGCCTGGTAAAGAAAAATTCTCCCTTGTATGAGAATGTTAGAGAATTTAGAGTAGTTTCTGTTCCCTGTGTCAGTGAAACTCTCCAGTGATTCTTAACACAAGGATTTCCTACAGAGTAGCCAACAACACAGGGGATAGGGAACTTAGGTGAAACGCTCCACACTCAGAACTTCATTTCTGACATTAGGGAGCATGAGGTTCAAAGCTATGTGCCCAGAAACTTACTTGGTTTCTTATCGATATTAATTAGTTGAATAAAAGGTTTGCAACTCCCTCTGAAACTCATATAGCTCACATATATATGGCTATAGCTACATTACTACAGTATTGTAAAACCAGATGAGTTCATGACTAAGACCTTTGAGGCTGTTGTCTTTAGTCAGTGTACGAGGGGTTCTTCTGGAATAAAATCTTTGGTAAGTTTCATTTCAGTCAAAATGGGAGACTTTTGAATTCCAAAGTATTTGTAGATGACAAAGATGTTTTCTGCTGTCTTTTGCTCTATACTGTTGACTCATCCCATTGCGGCACATTTCCTCATAGTAAATTCTTTGTTAGGCCCACAAAGTCAGTTGAGTTAGCTCCCTCATAATAAGGTTTCCTTTTGGTTTACATCCATCGAGCTCTGCTTTTTCTCTCTTAACTCTCTGTCAAAGGACTCCTGCTCTGACAAATGCCACCTGATCTTTTTCTCAAAATTACTATGGAAAATGGCTATGGAAATTGATTTATTCTTAAATCTCAGGTTAGACAGAAGAGTGTCTGAAAGTATCTTCCGTATTCTGATCTTTTTTTATTGTTTTATTACCTTTTCTTTTTCACAGCTTTAATCACTTCTTAACCATTTCAACATATTTTCTCATCTTTTAACAAAATAATTTCCAAGTATCCATGTTAGATTTGCCTCCAAATTTAGTTCTTTCTCCCTTTTGCTTTACCATAAGATTGGCCCTACCAGATCACCTACCTCTTCATTAATGTTTTTTCCTCTGGGAAACATGTCTTTTTTAAACCCCATGATACTGCAGGGATATTTACTTTCTTCATTTTTTTCATCTTTCCACATAACTCTATTTTTTTCTCATATTTGGAAGCCTCTTTAACTGCTCTGGACACTTTTCACCTTATTTTGTCACATTTTCTTCATGCTCCACACACAGCATCGCAGCAATTTCATACAGCAGATTTTATACAGCTGGTACCTTCTTGGCTCATCTTTGCTTCCCCCCTGTGTGCAAGAGTTTCCTTTACTTCCCCTGTAATAGGCAGACATTTCTTCTCTGTACTCCTCTTTATGGTTCAGTAAAACCAGTCCTAATTACTATTTGCAATTTGCTTGGTTCCCCTTTGATCCATGCCTCTTTCCTTAACCCACCTGTCCTCTCAACTTTTCTCACAATATGGGGATGTTTAACTCTCAGCATCTGCCTTGAGGTTCATCTTTTATATCCAGGCCTATTCACTGGGCTTTTACTTTCACAGTCTGGGAGTTTCCCTTTCCCAGTTCCAGCCTCAACCTTTCCCCATCCAGATCCCACTCCCTGCATTCCGCAGGAGCTGTGGTGTTCATGGGTGTTTACTAGGCTCCCAGAAGAGACTGATTGACACTGCTTGAGTATCACATTTGAAAGAGGAAGATCATCACCATCTGCGTACTTACAGTAGGCTACAGTTTAGTTATTTAATACATTTGTCTCTAAACAGTGAGGACTCCAATTACACTCCTTTTCTCTTGAACTAATTGCTAAGTTAAATTTTCAAATGCAGGGGATTTTTTAAAGAGCAATGAGAAGTGCCAGGATGCATTACAAAATGAAACTTCTGAACAATAGCAATACTGAAAAATCAATAAATGTCATTTACTTTGGATTTTTTTTTCCAGCACAGACTTCCTGGGTACAAAGGAGGCATCTTTACTACTGATGGCAATGTTCCTTTTAGCCGTATTTTATCATGGTCAACAGGTAATGCAAACATTTGCTTTAACCATTCCCTATATCACTTGCAATTACAGGATGTGACAATAATTACTTTCAAAACACCAACTGCCTTTTTATCCTCTTGAGTATATGACCTTTAACAATTTAATAAAACCTATGCAGAATCTGATTTAAAAAAGCCCACATCTAATGCTGCCTAGCATTCTTAAAGAACATGTGCAACATTCTTTTCAGCAATATGCAAGTTATATTGAAATTTCTAATAGAAATTGGAGGAACAAACAGGACTTAGTTTATCAGTGGCATCTCACTGCTTCAGTGCACTTGAGAAGGCATAAAACTGAAATAAAGAAAGAGAAGAACAAACAGAAAATAATAAAACTCCCAGCAAATAGCATAGTATGCCCATACAGGAAAAACAACAGATTGGAGGCAATAAGAAAAATTTGCAGTTAAGCACCATCACTAACTTCTTCAGGTCATGGATCACTTGCAAGAATTCTTGCACATGGACCTAGATTATAACCAGGATTTAGGGGCCTCAGAGCTTTAGGCTTGATATCCCAAATTTGTGATAAGCCATATAATATTCCCAATGATTCTTAACATACCAAAGATACAAATCTACAGCTTGGGAATCATCTTAAGTGAGGCCAAGTAGTAGGAAGGAAAACACTAAAGGTGTTTAGGTAGAGCAAGGATTAAGCAGAATCCAGGCAATGCTCTTCAGGATCACAATTCTGAGTGCAAATGTCTATCTATCTCTACAAAAGCCCAATCCAGGGTGTTTAAATGTATTTTCCAGCCCAGGGGCCTGTTTTCCATCGTATTAATCTTTGTTCTTCCATAAAAAGGGTGGCTGCACTCAAACTACCCTTGGAAATGGTCTCTGAGATGTGCTAACTCCTTCATGTCCTCCCAAATAATTCATAGAGCCACTTGGTCAATTTAATGATATCCAGCGGCAGTGCCCAGGATCATTTCCTTGTATTGTTTAATTTCTTATCATAGAGTTAACCTAAAGGTCTCTGTATAAATGCCAACTAAAAACATATATAAAAATTCCATCCACAGCACATTAAAAAAAAATATCTCATCAATAATCTGAATTGATAGGAAGCACAGTTAACTCCAATAAATCTGTCCTCTGGCACAGCTTTACTTCTCACAAACTGCAGAAGTGTTCTGAAATAGAATAGCTTAAAAGTTGCCTCATTCTAGGTGGATTTATGAAAAAGATTACTTTTGTAAGGTTATACTCATGTGCCTTTAATTTCTGAACAGCTAACTACTGTTCCTTATCCACTGTGATTTAAAGTTAATCCCCAGTTTTACACCTAGAATTTTAAGTCAGATTCAAGAAAAAGTTGTCTAATCAGACTGAGCTCTTTCTTAAAATCTTACCCATACTTCAGCCAATAAATCTTGAGGGCCTTCTGTGCTAAAACCATAATTAAAAGCAGATTTGTTACTGTTACATGACATCAGGCTAAATAGACTAATTCCCTACTAGAAATTAAATTTCATCTAGAAGCACAACTTTTTTTAACACAAATTATACATCCTCTGAACCTTCTTCATGCTTGGGAAAAAGGGGAGGAATAAGGAAATGCAAAAGGGAGGTTGTTCCAATTGAAAAAGAGAGGAAGAGACATACCTAATTCTGGTATTATGCTTTAGGTCTCTTCATTATCCTGAATGTATAAAATATTCAGATTGCAGAGTAGTGAAGAACGGATATTTGGTTTTTTTATCCAGAGTTAGACTGTTTCCAGTGGTTGAAGGTGTCCCTTTGGTATTTAAATCCTCTTCTCTCATTCTCTAAGGAAGAATATGCCATCCATCAAATGCTTATCCTTATCTTGTGTTTTCCTTGCCTCTGGTAATTGTCTGCAGAGTGGTTGGGTTGTACAGCATTTAGAGAACATAGGTACTATTAGGCTTTCTGTGTAATACATCTTCTCTATTTTCTTCACTCGCTACTGGAATTAGGGGTGTTTCATAGAGCTATGTATCAGAACAAGAAAACCTGGACATTTCAAGATTTATGTTGCAGACAGTCGTTTCTACTGCCACCACCATGCCCAGGAACATTTCTGTACAAAATAAGAAAAATAAACCCAAAATTTAACCTCATAACTTTGTTAGTTTTAACAAATATCAGAACTCAGCGAAGCATCTTCTTGAAAAGCTCTATTTACAAGCTTCATATGTAGAGCACCCTTTTATCTCTGAACTGACAGTGTTATCTCCTTTGTGCATTAGTGATGCAAGAAAAATATTTCATGTTACAATGTGATTTTAAAGAACCAAAATGGTGTTATCTAAAATGTAAGGATTAGCTGCTACTATTCTGAGCTAGGCTTAGAGATGTGGAATTTTCCTGTACAGCAGCACAAAAAATCAGCTGTAAATAACTGTACTGTGTTTTTGCAAAGCTCTTATTGTAGTAACGCTGAATATCTGAAACATCAAAGAACTCAGAATCCACCAGCAGCTCCCACTCCAAGCCAGTCTCTAAAGTACCTTTAGATCTCCTTGCAAAATCATAGTCAGTGTTGCCTTCTCAGTCAGCTGTTAGAGACAAAAGTCGGTTATGATCTGGTATAGGCTCTGTCTTCCAGCACAAAAAGAAGGGGAAACAAAACTGGGAAAAAAAACCTTTAAAAAATATTTTTAAATGCTTTTTCCTGCCAGTTTTTATGGTGCAGTTAATTTAGGGAATTAGTAGTCACAAGATGGAAGATCAAATTATGAGAATTAAAAAGAGATTAGCTTTTTATAAAGGTAGCAATAGCATCTAGAGGGCAAGTAAACCACTGTTAGATTGCATAAAAGCTTTAGAAGTTTATATCAAGCCAGGGCTACTTTTATATTTCAGGAAAAAAAAACCCTTGGAGTACAGTCATCCTATAGGCCCTCTTGCAAGGTGTTTGCATTTTCTTCTGAACAGTTTGCTATTGGTCACTGCTGGTGACAAAAACTGTGAACAAGATGAGTCACTTAACAACCCCTTTTTAGTCACTGCCACCCATTGCCAGCTTGCCTTTTATCTCATCTTGTCATATGAATTATATCCCAACCACTTCCTTAATCCCAGCACCGTTTGGCAAACCAATTGATGTCTCTCCCAACTGTAAAATCTATCTATTTGCTGGTATAACATGTTGATCTATTGGATGTTTAATAATTATCTCCAGTTAGAGCATCTAACTTCACAAATATATTTTCTCTTTCAGTTTACTGCACAAATGTATCGCCATCAGTTTCAATAAATGTATATCTTAACAAGTCACCAGCTGAAATCTGCTTAAAACTCTCCTTCAGTTCAATGCACTCAAAAGTTCTGGCAGTGTTGGTCTTGTCCATGTGCCTCTCAGGCAAGCAACATGATGTGTCAACATGTTCCTTGCTTCAGCTAGTGGACAGTTACCATTTATGTATATATGAATACGAATTTATATGTGTATATAAATACACAATACATATATATATATGCATATGGAGGCTGTGCAGGAATCTTCCTTTTGTTCTGTGCATATACAGCACTGAAAGCCATTTAACTTTGGTTTGTATCTGAGGGTGCCAGGCACTGTCCCTGTGCACACACTAAATTGTGATTGCAGACTGGATTCACAATACATCAGGGACAGAGTGTTTGAGGCGGGGTATCAAATAATATGTCTTTCACTAGCTTTTAAAAGACTTAGATTACAAACATCTGTAAGTCCCAAAAGTAGAAATACCTTGTTTTGATGCCACAAATTTGAAAGTCCTGTTTGGGAGTGTGTTGGGCTGTTATATATAATTTTGCTGAATGATGCTCATCCTTGAGAAATAAGCTACCTGTCTCTGGGAAGTGTTTAGAATGACCCTTGTGCTATTTTCTCATTAAACACATTTCATTTGAAAACACACACGAAAATGGGAACATACTTATTTCGTACCTATACCAGTATCTTCTAATACCTTGTCTCCTGTCTGACTCCATTATCTAACGAATAAAGAGGTGTTTAAAGGGAAAATAATTTTGTGCCATTTTCTAGCCACATATACCAGTAATATGACAAATATTATTTTGCCTAAGATTTCTCTGAGATATTCACCATACACAAGGCAAAGAAAGAACCTCTTTTTCTGGCAATGAATGTGGTTACATGGCAGGAGCAGCCTGCTGGGATGACAATACAAACTCTACTGTTATCTTGTCAGGTTTTATTTTTGCCTTTTTTTTCTTTCTGGAACTACAGCTTGAATACACAGCAAGGCTGGATTTTCTGTGGCGTGTACAAGCTAAAGAAGAAATCAATGAAATGAAGGAGTTAAGGGAGCACAATGAAAATATGCTACGGAATATTTTACCCAGTCATGTTGCCCGTCACTTCCTGGAGAAGGATCGGGATAATGAAGTATGTATCAGCTTTATTCTGATACTTTTGTCTGATTAGCAAAAGAAAAGTAGATCTGATTGATAGGAAATTGTTAGAACTTAGTTCTTGATAGGATTCATTACACAATTCATTACATTCAGTATTTGATCAACATTAAAAAGACATTCACATTTTAAAGGAAAGGTTCTGCCCTTCTAGGACTAGATATAAAGTGGTGTTCCCAGGTTCAGGCTCACCAGTAGGAGACACATGGACCTACTAGAGCAAGTTTAGTGGAGGGCCACTAAGATAATTGGGGATTGGGGCACATGATATGATTAGAGGCTGAGAGAGCTGGGTTCATTTAGACTTAAGAGGAAAAGTCTGAAAGAGGATTTCATCACTGTCTTCAACTATGCAATAGAGATGACAGAGCAAAACTCTTGTGCAAATGGAAGGACAAGAGGCAATGACACAAGTTGCAGAAAGAAAAATCTCAGTTCGATACAAGTGAAGAACTCCCCAGGAAAATGACCATTGTAGAGGAACTCTGAGAGGCTGTGAAATCTCCAGTCTTGGAGATACTCAACCCTCAGCTGAACAAGGCTATGAGACACTTGACCTACTTTGAGTGGGGACTGTATTAGATGCCTTTCATGTCCCTTTCAACCTACGAGCTTGTGAAAATCCAGTACTTCTAAAAAAGATATATGAATTTAACATAAAGCCTGTGAAACCTTAAGATAGCCCAGTGCTGCAGAAGTATTATTGCAGACATGCCAGTCATTATGCAAGAAATCTGTGCAACAGTCTGCAACGGACCTGAGCCTCTCTCATCTTCAGACCCAAGAGAACATTTTTGCCATTTCAAATTGTCTCTGAATTGTTTCTTTGGGGCAGTTAACAAAATACCCATTTTGTAAACTTAGTTTGTGGTTATATTGTTAAAGAATATTTGTAGTACACAAAGAAAAGCTTGATAATGGAAGCTTTGGATATTCCTAAGACAGAGTTTGAAGAAGGGTTGCTGAAGGGATAAAGAAAAGTTCAGAACTCGTTTCTGAAACCAGCAGTAAGTCACTTACTTACTCATCTGAAATAAAGCAAATATGTATTACAGTATCATCTGTGAATAAAGGCTATTGTACTATGAAACTGGGATTTTCTCATGTAATTTTAGAATTATATTTTATAATGAAGAGGTTACAGATGTTGCAAGATTCAGATTGCCAGACATGTCTATTCATTGTGCAGCAAAAAGGAATCAGGACTATCCTTTTCTGATTATACCTTTCGGAAATAGATGTAGCCAGAAGACTTAGACTGCATAATGAAGGATCATTGTGTTCTGAAGATGTGATTTCAAATATCACCTAGGGAAGGGCAACATAGTGAGAAGCTACAAGAAAAGGCACTTTAGAAATCCTCCTCTTGAGAAGTTTTACACTCTGTGGGTATTAAACTGCCATAAAAACACCACTCTGCACACAAGAAAACATCTGTGTGAAAGCAACCAGGTTAAAAGGCTTCATTGCAAATGGAACAGACCCCAGTACCAACCACAAGTGTGTTCTGGCATATTTGCTTTGTGGATTTTAAGGGAATAAGTGTCCTCTCTTATACATTCATTCACACACACTCACATGCACAATAATCTTCAGAAGCAAACAGATGCCCCATGGATCACTGCTGATGCTTCAATAGTTTGCCACTGGATTCAATTCCACCACCCCTGCTTTTTGTAAGGCAATTTCCAGAGTGGCTATACTTGGGGATGATTTATGCATGAGCCGGCTGGCTGTAACATCTACCAGATTTCAGTACAATCAATCCTGCAGTTCATGTCTGGCTATTAAGTTAATTTCTCTGCTCTCAAAAAATGAATTCCCAAATGTGTACTGTAAGTGTTTTCTCATGGATGCATTATTTCTGTCTTGAGGTTTCTTACCAAAAATAGAAAAAAGGAGCAGCTGAAGGCTCAGCCACTTGTTTTCTATCTTCATGATCTGAGCAAAGAGTATGCCTGAGTATATATATGCTTCTCCTAGCACATATTGTTGCATTTTCCACAAGCATCCATGAACTAATGTGTGTATAACTTTTTTTCTACACCTACAAAAGGATGTGTCCTTAGAGTATGGCTTCCCCACTGATATTTTTCAGTGAAAGAAAGTGCAAAGGCAGGAAGGGAATCGATTATGTTTTTTCCTGAAACTTTGCAGCGTTTTTGGAAACTAGCAGAATTTTGCCACTTTTGCTGTAGGTTGAATTGTTGAAGAATCTAGAGAAATAACAGCATTAGCATCATAGCAAAGTGCAGGGCAGGGGTTCAGGATGCTTCTCTAGGGAGAGTCAGGATGAAGGAAGGAGCCTGAGGTGTTCACATCTGGTGGTGTATGGCATCCAGCAGTAAGCCCTTTTATCATGAGACCAAAGCACTAAAATTTCCAAAAGCACACTAAAAAGAACATTGAGAAACAGCTGTTCCAGGTCAGAATGTCATAAGAGAAGATCCAGAACAGAAATGAAAGCATCTGTCATTGGGTAAAACTATCAGAAGTTAAAGATAGAAAAATGTTAAACAAAACAGAATGCATATGGTTGTGGTATATTAGCTACTAGAAAAGCCTACCAGGAGTTGTGGGGGAGCTCTGTCCTTGGCATTTTTAAAGTTGAAGTTGGTTTTGTTCCTAAAAATTTGCTTGGCTTCAGAGAAATTACCACATTCTCACATACATAATGACAAGAACCCATCAATAAATAAATAAGTCATTCAGTACCAGTGATTCATATGAATAATGTAAGTGGAAACATATCCCAACACATACTTTCATCCTCCTGTGTCTGATCCTTATAATCTGCTCTCTGTCCCCAGGAACTGCACTGTTATCCTCACTTCCTTTTTCCCTCCTTTCAAACTCTAATAGCAGGAACCTCTCTCAGAGCCAGGCAACCAAATAGCTCCATAGTCACCTTAGGAGAGCCACAGTTTACCACAGAGTAAGGGCTCTCCGAAAACCTCTGAATAAACTAACTTGTAAAGAGCTGCAGTAGTATGAAGTATAATGTGGCAACTGAGAGGATTCTTTACAAAAAGGTCACATCAGACATTTTAAATGGTCTGATTCTTGTTAATTACCAAATTTAGAAATATATTGTCAACTGCAAACATTCATGAGACAGACTTAAACGATAATAAATAACAAACATTAGGTTCCTTTTACTTGCCTAAGGGTGTTTGGTTCTCTGGTATCCACACTTGCAATTGAATCCTTCATTTCTTCAAGTGGTTTCCATAAAAATAAAACATGAAACATTCTATTTCATTTTTGCTGATGTAGCTTCCTGACCTCAGAAACAAGCTTCAAAGAATGGGAAAACCCTGTGATAAAAATGTGAAAGCTGTCAGCCTCATCCCATTGAACTAGGCTAACACTTAATATACTAATGTAAACCTCAAATATTACGGTATTATGCATGAAAAAAATAAGAAACATATTTTAATTGCAGCCAATTACATTCTCTTCCCTATATTACCACTTCAACTCATTTTCCTTCATCGTTCTTTTAGGAATTATACTCTCAGTCCTACGATGCAGTTGGTGTGATGTTTGCTTCTATTCCTGGATTTGCTGACTTCTACTCCCAGACCGAGATGAATAACCAAGGAGTAGAATGTCTGCGCTTACTGAATGAAATCATTGCAGACTTTGATGAGGTAATACCAGCTACTAGAGAAAATCTGATCTTGCTTAAACAGTGAGTTCCCAAATTATAAATATGTCATCTTAAATTATCAAATTTAGTAACTATTCTTCTTCCAATAATTGTCCAATATTTTTATTCCAGTTCTATTTAGCTTTTTTGCACTCAGTCTTGCCAAACTTTGGTCTGAATGACCTTGTGAAATAGAGACTGAAATCAATAGTTACTTGAATGTAAACATGTATAAATAAAAGCAAAATCTGTTCCAGTGTAACTAGAAATAGAATATGTATTAGTTATGCAGGATAAAGAAGGTTAAAGATATTTACAACAGTTCTGGAAAGAAGTGGTCTAAATCCAAACAGATAAAAATGTTGTTTTGAAGATGTTGGTTGAATGGACTCAATGAATTGGTTGAATGGATTCAATGAATGTAAAAGGTATAACAGTGTCAAGTTAAACGTGAAGCACAGGAGAAGAAAAGTCAGATCCCCAGTGTAGCTGTTGTCAGATGAAAGCAAGGAAAACACGGAAAGTGAAGAGGAAGTCAGAAGCAAGTATTTGGTACTGCATACTCTGCCAACTAGTTACTAAGGAAGCTTAGACAGGTAGTATCATGTCCTGCAATGAGCGTAAAAGTAATTAAGAAAGGGGACAAAAGATAGACCAAAGAACAAAAAAAAAAAAAAACAAACCAAAAAAAAACCCCAAATTGGAAAAGAAATCAAAGCTGGGAAGGGTGCAAAAGTAAAGCCAAGATTACTTAGCATGGGGAATTTTAACCTACATGCTGCAGCAGCTTTCAAGTGTGCGTAGCCCTCCTGAGCTCCCTGAGTGGTAGAAGTAGAATCTGAGCCATCCCTACTTATCAGTGAGACTGGATCTGTTTGTCAGCCTGGAATAGCCCAGAAAGAAAAGAGGAGGGGAAAGGGGGAGGTCATACTGGTATCATTGGTCTGTGACTCCAGTTTTGGAGGAGTTATTTAAAGAGAAAATGGGAAAAGGCATCCTTTTCAGAATTCTGCTGGCAGGAGTAGTACAGAACTGGACAACGGGGGCTAGGGCACATGGATAGCATGAAATCACTGAGAAAGAGTGAAAAATCCTACCCAGTAAACCATGTTCTGTTTAATCTCTGCTTATCCCAAGGAATTCTTGAATTCAGTTCTGTGTTGTGATAGAGTATCAACTGGAGAATTGATGAGTGTATTCTCAGCTTAAAATTAAGATTCAGTTCAGGAAAACAGAAATTGTTCCCTCAAAAGGAGCTGGATCTGGATCTCACATCCTGCACGAGCTATGTAACCACGGAGCAATTGTCTAAAACAAAGAAGGGGGAAAAACTCCACTTCGGCTCACAACTCAAAAAGCATTACTAGAATGCAAAAGACTGAGTTTCTGAAAGAAGACAAGAAGGCATACGTAGTCTTTTCATCTTTTCATTTAATCTGGATCCAGATTCTGTCCATAGATTAAGCATCCAGAAAACTTATTCCAGAAAACTAAAGCATTGGCAGAGTTCAGACCTCGCCAGGGTTTAGAATATAGCTGAATTAAGGTTTGAGAATCAGTGTCTCTTTTATTATTATTATTTATTTAGTTCTACCTCAGTCCTACTTTAAACAGTCCTACTTTAAAAGATTCCTTTGGAAATCTAGCCTAGAGGTTTTCTGGTTGGTTGGTTTTTTTGTGCTTTAAAGAGCAGTTATCTCCAAGGGCTTCAGAGGACTACACTGAAGGAAAAGATGAAAGTGGAAGGCATATGACTGAGAAAAAGAGATTAGGCAAAAAAACCTTATTCTTTATTTTAATTATTATTCCATCCTAAGCAGCAAGTATCTAAGGCCTCTCACAGGTTTTGAAGTGTTTATTTTCAATTTTCTCCTCTGGTGGAAGTTATGTTATATTCATTTCCTAATTGTAAAACAAAGGCACAAAGGGGTTATCTAATTTCTTGTCTTTTTATTGAAAACAAAGAGACCTATTCCCATGCCAGGAGGAAGAACCTAATTATTAAGACCCAGATCAGAGTCTTGACTGCATCTTCATCCTTCTTCATCCTGGTCAACCTGCATAGGGAATGTTCATAGGCTGGTAACTCATAAAAAACGGACTAGGGTTAAGATCACATACAATTGGTCAGACACTAAAATTACTAGTGGGAAACAGAAGAATTCACAGGGGATGCATCATGTGTATTTTAGTAGAAAACAAAACTACTCTTCTATGGGAAGAGCTCTGTCACCTGCTAAGCTCCTGCACTGCTTTCCCTATAGGTACAAATACCTGCTTCTTCTCTCTGAGATGTTACACAGCTGTCAGCATGCTTCTTGATTAACAGTTTTGTTTTTCTTTCCAGATCTGATTAAAATGATCAAGACTCAAACTTAATGCAAAGCTTATTGCTACGAATTAATTTAAGACATTTTGTCATGCATGTACATGTAATCTTCACAACAAAATTCCATTGCTGTTGTGGCAATTACTGAAGACAAGGTTTTCATCAAAAACCCTAACACAATATTACATTCAAGCCCCTAATACCTGCTCTGTAATTTATAAAGGACCTAATTTGGGACTGTATTATGTCCCAGACACGTTTAGTTGAATAATAGATATGTTCTTGCTACAGGTAGTAAATGAAATTATGTGATCCCCTGTTGACTGCTAACCTACTTCCAGCATGGTCATGCCATTAGTTTATTCTGTCTAAGCAATCTTAAAGGTGAAATGTTAGAGAAACAAAGCTAGTCAAACAAAAAGTAGTGAATGGTGAAACAGATCCTGCCACCAACAACTTCATGGGGTAGGAGCCCACAGAAGACTCAGGTTGTGATTGAGTCTTTCTTAAGAAGCTGGGAGAACTTGTAGCAAAAGTTAGCATTGGGGAGTAGGTGGCTGACTCTTCTCAAAGCACAGCTTTACTCAGAGCTTCTGTTTGGGGTTGGTTTATTTTGTTTTCTCTGAGGGCTCACAAATCTGGTTTCTACACTGACAAAATGATTTTTTTAATTTAATTTGACATATAGCATCATTATAAAATACAGTTAGAGATAACTTCTTATTTTATATCCAAGCACAGAGATGCTGGCAGAACAGATCATTCATCAAAATTAAATATTAACATTGCAAATCTACTTTTATAATTACCTATTTTTTATATGACTGTAGTCTTAAGACATATACATTCTTAGAGATGTTGCACAAAAAAATAATATTGGAACATTTTTACTGAAGATTATGAGTCTCTAAGGAATTTTTTTTAATGTAATATTCTTTCTAGACTTTTTAATCTATCATTTATGTGTCTTACTGATGTTACAGCTGGGATTTGTGCTTTAATAAGAGCTTTCTAGTTCATGGGCTCTTCTTTCCTCCATTTTCTTCATCCTGCAGTGATTTACATGGTGTTTATGACAACAGATTTTAATATATTATGTTGCCACAAAGAGAGGTTTGGGCAAAATGCAGGATCCTGCTTTCAGACTTTGCTGATTACTTCTCAATTGTGTGCCATGCCCTGGAACATTCTCTTTTGTACTTCTTTGTACATGTTTCATTGCATATGTATATCCCAGGGTCTGACCTTCCTATAACCTTGGCTGTGCATACATTGCGACATCAAACCATTAGCTGCTTTTCAGATACCAACCACACTGTAGAGTTTGAAAATGTTTCCTGGACTAGTCTGATAAATCAGCAAATCTATTTAAATGTTCTAACAAACAGCAGCTGATTTAGGACTGACTTGGAATATCTTTTCCCAATATCAAAATCCATCATCCTGTCATACTGTGATGAAAGTAATTGGTAAATAAACCATTACTTGAAGAAGGAAAGAAGCTATCTAACAGACAGGATAAAGCAGGAAAAAAATAGAGATTTGGAAACAATATGAGCAAGAAGAAAAAAGATAACTTGAAATTCTTTCTTCTAAATTTCCTCACAGCCAATAGGTTCATTCTTTCTTAAAAAGAGTAATTTTAGATGTTTATCTTACATTTTAAATTACTGTGCTGTTTGCTTCCAGCAACCATCTGAAATTAAAAAAAGCCTGTTTTTAACCAAGACCATTTCCTCCTTTTGCCTGCACACCTGGTGCTCTCAGGCTGCTCATAAAAGCAGAACTACAAGAAATGATCTTTTTCTTTAAGAGAGCAATTGGAAAAGCTGCCCTTGTAGGAGGGAAACGTAGATAATGGGCTTTTCGGGCAGTTGAAGAAAAATGAGCAGCAGGTCAAGTTTTTGGACTTTCCTGACTTGGAAGGGAGCTATTAACCATATGGCTTTGTATTCCCTGCTCGCAATGCTGTGCAGCCTCCCATTAGAGACAGATGGTGTGATATCTGTACACGAACAGCAAAGGTTCCAAGACCCCGACGCTCCAGCTGACGTACACTGTGGTTAGTTCAATGGCTTAGGATATTTCATGTTATGCCTTTGGTATGTTTCTCCCTTTGAATAAAACAATCCTTTTAGTTTTTAATTGACAGGAAATTCAAACCCACACAATGGAAAAAGAAAGCATGATAGTGTCTAGAAAAAGGAGGAAATGCTTCATTAAATTTTTGCCTGACCACAGCAAGATTTTTTTCTCATTTAAATCCCAAGTTGAGCCTTTAGCACTGAGAGTTTGAAATTTTTCTTCTCTATGAACTTCTTCTTAATTCCAGGACTGCCTAACCATACTGGTACCTCAATTTATGAGATACCATACTGTTTATCATGAAGAATTTTGGTATAAACATCAGCAAACACTTTTTAAAAGCCTGTGATGAGGTGGTCTGTACCTATATCCCACATAAAGCTGTATTATCATTCACTGATTCATAACCTAAACTCTGCTTAGGTCTCTCAAGGACTGTAAGGCTCTGGCTTCTATTTCATGGAAAGTCCTAAGATAAACTGAATACGGACTTGAAATAGGGACCAAACTGTCACTCCCACTCCACTCAGTGCTTTAGTCACTAGACTAAATTTATTCTTCCTCTTCCAGATTCTCAAGCTGACAAGTCCTTTATGCCTATTTAGCACCTATAGCTATCCCAAATAGATACCAGGTTTTACCACTTCCCGTTGGCTCCCTGTATTTCTTGTAGAAGGAGACAATACATAACAAAAGTGGAGACTGAATGACCCTATGGACATACCAGTGTTAGGTTGGACAATAAGTACAGGGAAGCATGGGATAGAGGAGGACTTGATCTCCCACAGAAGTTCTTTGCAGGCATCTACTTTCATCCATGGACTGTGTAAGATGGTGAAAATGGTTGGTTTAAGTGGACTGAATTCCCTTTAACACTGGTGTCATCACCTGAATTGTTGTTGCACTTGATTTATCAACTGAGTTCCTTCAAAAGAGATATAAAAAACTTCTAAGCAATCAAGCCCTCTTGTATTCATACATACATACACAGATATCTTGTCTTCACTGATTTTCAATGATTATAGGACTCATCTGCATTTTGGTTAGGCTAGAATATGCATGTCTTGTAGTAGCCATTATGTGATTTACCAAACAGCTTTATGGAGCACAGCAGAGCTTTTTGGGTTTGGGTAGATGATTTGCAAAGAGCCCCAGCTCAGTGTGCCCCAGAACCCAGTATGAACTGTGCATCATGACCAACTGGAAGGTATCATGAGTGTAATGATTTATTTTGGTATCTGTAGAAACATTTTGCATTAAGAATTAGAGAAGTAAAAGTGTTTTCTTACATATCTATTAGTTACTAGGTGAAGAAAGATTTCAAGATATTGAAAAAATTAAAACGATTGGCAGCACATACATGGCCGTGTCAGGATTATCACCTGAAAAACAGGTAAGAGAATAGTTTTCTTTAAGAAGCAGAGCTCTGGTGTGTCTGACCATTCGTATTAGAGAATATTAGTGTTATATTTGTGACGTTCATAGAGTTGTGTTTGTTAAAATAAAACAGACATTTGGGGCTTCTGGCAGACAACAGTTGCACTTCTTGATGAATTGAAATGCCATCTTATGCTCAGGAACAAGAGACATATGGATTCTTTCCTCAAATTTAGGTTTATAAGAGAGGAAAAAAAATCCCCTTTCAATCACACATGTGAATCTAGAGCAGGTCTTTGGACATACTCTAAAGTTACAACTGTAACTCAGACTGGAATCTGGCTGATTGATAGCCTCCAAATATCTATGAAGATAGAGGATCTATTAACTGACAGCATACATGCACAAGTGTAAGATTGAGTTTATATATTTTTGTGATTATGTAGCTGTATATCTGCAGAGAGATGTATCTACTATAAAACATAAAGAAAGCAGAATCATCATTCCACTGAAGAACTTCATGAAGCCACATGTCTGCATGCCACCCTCACTTGCAGGGTTACAAAACAAGCTGAGGGTAAAATACACCAGAGGACACATGTGGATTCACAGCCATAAGCCTCAGATAAATCAGATGAGAGAAATCTATTCATAATTACACCCAAGAATATGCTTGGAAATGGGATCTCCAAAGGAATAAGACGAGGCTTTAAAATACATCCACCGAGAAGTTGTCTGGTGCTGAAATCTGCCTTGCTTGGCAACCAGTGCCTCTCCCCAGTGCCTCTCCCCACAAAAAATGGTGTGCTGCCCCAGATCAATCACAGAGTGGGAGTCAGATCTTCCCACATTGATTGCAACTTCTAGAAAAGCAGAAGTCAGATTAGCATGAGCTTTATAAACTAGAAAATTTCCATTGTTTGTTTAGAATGCATTATAAAACATGTGGAGTGTAACTAGCTGAGCATCTCCCACCTACAGAGTAACAAGAGATGCTGACAGCCAGAAACCCATAAAACAAGACAAACATGAGATTTTTGTTTGTTTCAACTCAAAATGCTTCTGTGCAGAGATGAGCAAAGAAGGACTGAACATCAGGGAGGTAGCTGGTTATAGCTACACAGCTCTTAACCACTTCTTTTGACTCAATGTGGGTAAAAAGGCAAAGGGAGAAAATCCTTAATGCATTTCCAAGACTGATTAACTCATCCTTTTTCTCAAACTATAATAGCCTCATAGAATTTTTATGAATGCTTTAAATATAATAATCTTCATACGTACATGTCTATCACCTTGTCAGCATTTAGGAGGTGAGGGTTGCTGAGGGAGGTTGGTATGTTGTGAACTGAATGAGGCTGAGGGCAAGGACTGAACGCTGTGAACAGAACAGAGTGATGTCAGGGAGATGCTTATATTCAGTACTAGACACTGAGGGTGACAAAAATTACAAAGGGCTGAACTGCATGACACAGGGTGGGACTTGCAATGCTCCATTCCTATGGACTGGAAATGTGTTTGAAGAATTACCTCCCTTCAGAACAGATGAGATGAAATCATGCTACTATTGGGCCAAAACCGCAGCTGTTCCTTACTCCACTGCCTATTCAGACAAACAATTAAGGAGTTCTCTTTCCTCCCTTGAGAGTCCCTGCCCCGTCATCTCTTCTGTTGGTGTTCTGTGAAGACCAAAACCTGCTCCTGGTCCCCATCTGTAAGCTGACTGCAATTTAGGAATGGAAATGGAGGGGAAGGAGCAGTAGGTGACTTGACTGCTCCAAGCAAAGGCAATTAATCATAGAATCATAGAACAATTTGGGTTGGAAAGGACCTTAAGATCATTCCAACCCCCTGTCATGGGCAGGGATGCCTCACCCTAGACCATGAGCTATAGAATAGTTTTTTCTCTGCCACTTAACTGGTCCCAAGTTGCCCTATTGTTCCTGTCATTACTCCATCACTCTGAGCACTGTAATTAGGTGTTTTTCCTGGACAACAGTTTCAGCAAAGGGGAATTACATCTTTCACTTCTTTCACCCTATTTCTTGCTTACGTGGGTTATCCCTGGTTCCCACTAGTTTTTGTCTCTTGTACCTGAGCTATCTCAACCCTCCCTATACTTCCGTTCTCAGCCTTAGATAGATTTCACATGCCTTATTAATTCCCATGATTGCCTGTGAGATTATTGACAGGAAATTACTTTCTTCTGTACGTCACACTCAGCTTCTCTGTATCCATGTATACAAGTGTTGTAGCATGGATGGGAAGCATTACCATTAATAATATTCTACCTCTCCTCGATCTAGTATGTTGAGACTGTTTTTACAGATTCCAAACTCAGATACTTGGTAAGGATGGGTGGGAGCTGGGAAAATGAAAAACCTCTAACATTTTGCTTTATAACTTACTCCTCAGCAATGTGAAGACAAATGGGGGCATTTGTGTGCTCTGGCCGACTTCTCCATAGCTCTGAATGAAAGCATACAGGAGATCAACAAGCATTCGTTTAACAACTTTGAACTCCGTATTGGTAAGCATAGCTCAAACATGAGAATTAAAATGGGGGTTCACCTGCAAGGATCCAAGTCTTTAAGCACACCCCAGGAACACTGCAAGGACATGTACATTTTAAGATACTCCAAATATGGTGTTCTCTGTTTTCAAGCTGACTTAATCCCAGGCAAAATTAGGAACAAGAAATACTCTGTTTGTAGAATATGGTGCTGATTTGGGGACTGCAGGAGTTCTAAGTTTTAGTGAACTGTGAATGAGTAGCATAATTAAGCTACTGTCTATCAAGGCTGGCAAAGAGCCCATCGATACAACACAAAAAGTGAATTGGGCAGCCCAGACCTTACCCCAGCTTGATACTGGATTGCACAGTCTCTAATCAATCTCTTTGGTTTAGATTCTTTTTCAGTAAAGGGGTAATAGTAGCTTATCCTAAACCTTCTGGATAGTACTTCGGTTTTGCACAAAAACTGAATTCCAATTCTTACCTGTCCATTGTCAGCAGCTCTGAATTGCTGTGGTGGGGAAGCTATTATCTGGGATGGGATATCCTGGATGGCTAGTAGGACACAAAAAGATGGCCTGAATATATGGCACATGGCAGAAGTAAACCTGATGGCTTCTCATGTTGACTGGATCACTGCCCAAAACAAAAACAAATCCTGTTTTACTGTATAGCACTAACAAGGTTGCCTTCAACAAGAGCAGACCCAGAAAGATCCTTCCAGAGAGATCTTTCCTACTACATAAGAATCAGTTTGAAGGAGCTTTGGCAATAGTGTGCAGAATACGGATGATACATAAGTACTGTGGTTGCTGTGGATATCTCTTTTCATGTTTTCTAGCTTTTATGGCTTTTTTTTCTTACTTTCTTTGTATATACACCTCTTCCTTAAGCTTAGAGATAAGTGTATCTGAACCAGGCTTCATCCGCTTCTTACGTGAAAATATGGTTTTTAGCCATTCTTGTCTAACTGGCTATCTCTTCTCATTTTAATTTTATTCATTTTATTTTGAATAGGGATTAGCCATGGCTCTGTTGTAGCTGGAGTTATCGGTGCTAAGAAACCTCAATATGATATCTGGGGCAAAACAGTTAATTTAGCAAGTCGAATGGACAGCACAGGTGTTAGTGACAGAATACAAGTGCCTGAAGAAACGTATCTGATCCTGAAGGACCGGGGATTTGCCTTCGACTACCGAGGAGAGATTTATGTCAAAGGTATCAGTGAACAGGAAGGAAAAATCAAAACATATTTTCTTCTAGGAAGAGTTCAACCAAATCCTTTAATCTTACAACCAAGAAAACTGACTGGACAGTATTCATTAGCAGCCGTTGTATTAGGACTTGTACAGTCTCTTAACAGGCAAAAACAGAAGCAAATCCTTAATGAGAACAATAACTCTGGAATCATAAAAGGACATTACAACCGGAGGACTTTGCTTACTCCAGGTGGATCTGAGGCAGCAGCCCAGGCAGAGGGGGCTGACAAAACTGAATTGCCATAATCAGCATTTTGTTTGTGTTCTTTTTTTTGTATTTCTTTTATATATAAAAATAAATATACAAATAAAAAGGGTTTAATTTTTTTTAGAAGAAGTGTGATTATTTTCTGGTGTGATATTTCAATGAGATTCAAATTCCTACATTTTAACAAACGGTGCCAGCATCTCTACCCCCAGCTGTGATTCTAACATTTAAGCTAGTTGCCTGGTCTCCATAACAGCCAGGGAAAAGCTAGTCAGTACAATCAAAGGATTATAAGGTCTGCTGGCTGCCCAGATGTGAGGATCTGTGAGATAGAAGAGATGAATCTCACCCTAAACCCACTGATTACACTGAGTCCACTGGCTGTAGGATCTTAAAATAGACTCAGGTGTCCTCCTCACAAGTGCATGACTGCTCTGTAGGCAGATAAAACGCGTGTTGCTATCTAGCTGACCTCTTGCACCCAAGCCAGGAGGACGAGGCTCTCCTCTAAGAACTATGTCATACCTGTCAGTCCCGTTTGGAGGGCTCAAATTCAGTATGTATCTTGACCAGCACAAGACACCTATGAACAAATGACAGAATCACATCTTGAATGACAACTCTGGAGCCTCCAGCTGAGTCTAACCAAAGTGCTAATCAAATTCTCTGGAGCTTAGCTCTTAACCCCTTCACCTGTCTGATTGCTCATTAAAACAAGAGTTGTCTAAAGCTGTAAAATGAGTACGTGCTGAAGTACAAAAGCTCATCACTAAACTCCTGCTCAGTAGTCTCAAGAGGAGAAACCAAGACGGAGGATACCCCAAAGTATTAGTGTGCCGGGACAGAGACAGTCCTGATGGGATGCACACCTAGGTGCTACAAACCCTGTGTCAAAAGAAGGATAACTTTTTTGAGGGAAGGCTAATCAACTTCACCTTGAAACAGTAAATATATAGCACAGTGTCATGATTCATCCTGAGCTGTAAAGTGCACAAATGAACCTCTCATCAAGTCTGTATGCTCAAATGAGCTGGGTTTATCTCAGTAAATATTATCTTTAAAGTAAATCACAGATGGAAGCAACAGAACTCGTAATCACACAGCAATCCCCAGATGAAACCCCACACAACTAATACAGTGCAACATATGGATTTTTCCTAAATACAGGCCTTGCTTTTTCCGGGCTGTTGCCTAGACTTTAATGAAAATTAGGGGTTTTTGGGAGCATCACCACTGGATCAGATCCATTTTTAAAAGATGGACAATATGGTTAGGAAATTTCTACATTTTATAAGACACTATTGTTTACTAACAAAAAAGGCACCAAAACATGACAGCGTTTAATTGTAGTAAGATAAAAATAATGCCTTTGATTGTAAACCAACCTGATTAATTGCTTTGTGAGGCAAAATGTAATCAGCTGAGTGCCGCCTTCAGAAACACAAAATAATAAAAATGACCAAATAAATTCCACAAAAAATTTATCACAGAACAATGGATCTGAGCACAGAGAGCAAAGAGATTCTGAAATCATGGAATCATAGAATGATTTGGGTTGGAAGTGACCTTAAAGCTCATCCAGTTCCAGCCCCCTGCCACAGTCAGGGACACCTTCCACTAGAGCAGGTTGCTCCAAGCCCCTGTGTCCAGCCTGGCCTTGAACACTGCCAGGGATGGGACAGCCACAGCTTCTCCTGTTCCAGTGTCTCACCACCCAGTGATGATACTGCCAGTAACTGAGCTTTCATTCCAAACTGATTACTCCTTTGAATCCCCTCAAATACAATTTTATATGCCACACAGAGAAAAATGAGCCCCTGAGCTCACCCAGATGAGTGCTGATTCTGTAGGAGACAAGAAATGGCTACCGTCTGAAGCAGTTAAATTAATTTTATAATCACAGTAGTATTTGAGGTACTATAAAAGTAAGTTTTAGTTGTTTAAACAGCTTATTAACAGCTGTCCCCTTCTTCACAGCTTATTTCTGTGCTGGATGGCTTCACTTCTCCTTGTTCTCTAAACATTTAATTCTTGCTGATATCCCAGCTGAACTGGTTTTCTAATTCTCATCGCTGCTGCCAACCTCTATACTGACAATTAACAATGAGTGGAAGGTGTTAACTAGATAACAGAATTGGACTGGAGCTGTGAGGGCAGCTTCACTGCTTCTTAGCACAGGCCCAAATTGCCTGCTCTTATCATAGGCACGGGTGGCTTTGTGTGTTATCCTTCTCAAAATCCCCATTCCCATAACTATGTTCCCAAGCAAAATTGTCTGCTAATGAATCCTGAGTCTGCATTGACCAGATAAAGAGTTTGCTAAATCAGCTCATTGCCATGACTAATTCCTGAGTGAGGAATTCCACCTGTGACTGTCACAGGTAAATCCATGCTTGGGACTATTTATCTATGCTAGATGGCTATTTGCCACCCCAGCAATTACTCTGCTTGTTCCTTTTCCAAGTGTGATGACCTTAAAGGTTCAGCAATGTTATTTCTCATTGTAGCATCTGTTTTCAGTGGAGCAGAAGCTATTATCTATGCTCTCAGTCTTCTAGTTTTGTCCCACGACTTTATGGCACCACTAGAGTATTCAGATTTCTCTCACAACTTTATCTTCAGTGTTTCTTGTTCATACGGGGTAGAATTGCTCATACACCAAGGACCTCTAAAGCCAAAACACCTTGTTAATATCCTTTGAAACATGCATACCTGGGTTTATAAAGACAAATTGCCTTGATATCGTAACTCTTTGGCCAAACCAGCTAGCCAATACTGAGAGCTTTCCTAGATTTTCCCCATTAAAAGGAGAAAGCCTTGGCAGAAACTGACTGTACTCTTTGATGTCACCTTATTTATTTCTACAACTGTGTACTACAGAACCAAACAGCAGCCAGCTGCTTGCTCAGAAATTTGTACCTCAGTCCCTCCAACAATCTCTGTGCCGTAAGCTCTGCTGGCTTAAATGTTTTCTAAACAAACAGGCTGAAATCCATAGCTTTCTTCCCTGAAAAGCAACATACATTCAACTACATCAAGGGTAGTTTATGCCAGCTTTGAAGTGCTCATTCTTAATCATTAAAACAGATGGAATATTGACTATGTGAACAATAAATCTGTACCAAAATCATTACTCCAGGTGCTTATTTGCAACCATCACTCCTATATTCTAGCAAAGACCATATACGTGGCAAGAGTGTTTGGTTGCAGGACAGTGAAAAGATTTTAGTGTTGTTTAATTTGTGCCATTCACCAGTTTTAGTAATATCTATCCAGAAAGTCACAATAAGGTACTGATACCTGTTAAGGTATCTACTGTTAGTTCATATTAAATCACAAGACAGAAGAGAGTTTACCTCTACCGAGAGCAGCGTGATATGATTTAGAAGTGTGTGTTGAGAAAAATGCAATTCAAAAGTAGCCCTTGCACACAGGGGAAAAATATCAGTCACTGTTTTAATTCATTCCTGATTATTTCACAGTTGTTTCCACATTTTGAAAAGTGCAAGGGGAAAAAAAAAAAACAGAAACCTCATCTAATCCTTTTCTCCTTAGCAGAACTTCAGCCGCCTTTCCTAAGTGCAGTGGGAGTCAAGGAGTTTATACAAATACACAGCACAGCAAAGGTGCCTAATAGACAAACATCCTGTTGCTGCACACTGTCAAGCTGTAAGGCAGGGAGCAGAGAGACTAGCTCCAGAGCTGACTTCACAAACACCCATAACCACATTAACCATCGCTAGTGGTACATGGTAAGTGTTATAATCGCAGAGGCAACTTATTAACCTCTCCATCAATCATTTCTGTTGCTCAATGGCAGTGACACGATTAAGCCTTTGCAGTTTCCCCAGCTCTGTGCTTTCTGGAGGAGGGGAAAAATATCATATCAGGGCAGGCAGCAGATAGGAGGGAAGGGGTAAAAAATCAATATGCATATCTCCAGGCACTTAAAATTCACCGCAGTTCAGTCAGTACTTGGGGAATGTTCTCATTAGCAATCCTGATAGGAAAAAATATTTGCTTGGATATGTAACTTTAGCAGATAAAGCCCAATTAAAAAAACAAAATAAATTCTTTCTTTCTGACCATTTTCCACTCTTTTTTGGGTGAGGACTGTCAGTGTTACAGAGCCATCCAAGGACTGATTCATTCACCTCTTTCATGTGACAATGACTGCAATGTGCAGGGCTGGTTAGACAGCATCTCCTGTAAATGCCATTCATGCTACTTCTGCTGACCCAGATCTCTCTCAGCCCAAGGTGGTTTTTTCTGGCTGATAGATACGTTGATATTGGTATGCTGAAAATCTCTGTTTCATAGTCCATGTACCTTCTGAGGGTCTTGAAATCAGTGCCCCCTTCATCTTCACAGTATTTCATGGTTTTGGTTTTTTTTTTTTTTACAAAGGCACCACTGTTGTCACATGGAGAAAAACAAGAAGAAATTTTGGCTGGTTTGCTGAAAACCTAAGGTTCTAAAACAAACGACATATGTGTGAAATGACTTTTGATTGCAAAACCCACTCTCAGCAGTAATGACATGAAGCATGTCAAGGGATATTTTCACAGCAACAGGATATTAAGTGTCATTTTAATTAACTCACCAGTTACTTAAAATAATGAACATAGAACAGCATCTTCTTGATCATCTTTCCTCACAGAGACTACCGTGACAGGCTGTCAGTTTTCTAAGCGTCCATAAATCAACAAGTAATTTTGCTTCAGATGAGTTATTACCTCTTTTGGATGTGCCCAGACTGATGATCTAAAGCTGTGTCCAGGAGTCAGATCCCCATCAGGACACTGTGTATGGGAATGA